AATTGCGAGTCCCAGTCTCATTATGACCTTTTTTGGGTTTTCCTGCGAAAACTTAATATTAATGACTTGCTGGGAAATTAATTTCTTCACTTGACTTTCGCCAGTGGGAGTAAGGGGGGAGGGTGGGAGTACGAAGTGCCGCCTTCAGTTTCCCGATCCCATTTCCAAGTCCGTCTTTCTTTTTGCCTCAGTTTCTTTCCTGAACCCCAAGTGGGTCAACATTGATTTCCGTCAGTTGATGGCCAAAGACGCCTGTCCCGGCGATGGACGCAGTCATAAATATTCCAAGCGGCACGCGCTCCTCGCCAAACAACCTTCCCCCCGGGCATCGCCCCCCCGCCACCAGTAACCCCCTCTTGAAATCGCACCCCCTTTGAAAAGTGGCAAGGCGAGACGACAAAACTTGCTCCGCTTTGATACGATGACTTTGCTGGGAGGGGGTTCCCCGTGCTATGTAAGGAGATGCCTGCACAATTGCAGAAGCTGCAGCATTGATTGAAAATAAATAAATTCGTTTGGTAGGGAAACAAAATATAAAAAATATAAAATCTTCAGAGCAAGTTCCAATGAGGTCCCCCAGAAACGGAGAATTCAAAAGCATGCGTTCTCAATGGTTTGTTTGTATTTACAACTGAGAAATCAAAATGAATGGGAATACTGTGAATGAAATTAAGTAGAAGTTCTTTGTGGAATTATGCCATAGAATTTCAAAATGTTACTTCATGATATTTAATACAGTAAATTGGATGGGGAAATCTAAGATAATAGAAAGATAATCAAGGGCAATGGCTTAAAATCTGAATTTCAGTTCTTTAAATCACATATCACTTTAAGATTTTTGGTTGAAATAATTCCCAGGATTTCATCAAATCATTTAACATCTCTTTATTATTAATTACTCGCTTTCTTTCATTTCGATACGCTGAAGTTCATGCGAAATGTGCTTGTTTCATTTCAAAGATATTCCACACACACATTATATAATTTTTCATTTTATGCAATTCCTGGAAACCAATGTCCTTATGCTTGCCACCTTTCTCTTTTAAAGGGAAACATTTTTATCTCGTTTTTCATTTATATATTTTCGCTTTTGAGCTTTTTCCCGCTTAAATGATGTAACATATATACACATATATCGGATTGGTATATATGTATATATATACATGTACCCGTAAGTGTTTGCCATTATATTTAATGCCAGTTTATGGCAGTTTCCTGTGGGTTTTGGCGCCTTTCAGACGTTGCAATTTATTGATTTCGTTCGTGCTTTATTTAATTTCTTACTTTCTCATAATTTTATCGGGCCATGACAGGCTATTGCCAAGACAGAGGGGGGCCCTGAATAAATGATGATGCGGCCGATGTTGAAGGGCTTAAAATTCACGATTGAGGGAGCAGCATTAAAATTTTGAAAGCGGTTTTGCTGTAAAAGTTTTGCCAAGAATTTCGTGGGCACTTCACTAAGCTAAAGTCAAAATCGATTGACTTTGATACTATATTTAAGGTTCATTGGCTTTATGGCCGTCCATTTTGTGAACTTTAATTTTTCCCAAGTCCTCTTGACTTTCCTCTGTTATCTCCTTCGGGGTTTTCGGTTTTTTTTCTCGCTTAAGTAATTTCATTAACAACGAAAAACTTTCAATTGATGCCCGATAAAGGGATGTGTACTGACAGCTTGAAATTATCGACTTAAACCCAACCCTCTTTTATACTTTTCCCCCTAATGATTGTGAACATTTTCCGGGTTTCAAGCTTCTGCTGCAGCTCCTTATCAGTTGTGGGATACTTTTCTTCTCAAGGGGTTATATGTAAATGTAAATATGTTTTAGGGGGATGGATGGATCCCCTGTTTATCGGTCATTAAACCCCATGAACAAGTGCAATGTCTGTTAATCTAACCACACTTTTCCAGTATCTCGTTTTTCCCAGCGCCAGCACTTTGAACTCCGACTGAGGTTTGCTCTGGGAAATCTTCTTTGAGTCGGAGGGCGATGCTGTTACCCTTTTTTCTCCTTCTATTCAGAGATGTTTGGAGCTCGTAATTGAATGGTGCCGCAGTCTTACAATTATCTGCTCCTCGGTGAATGCAATTTCCATTTCTCCTCTTAGCACCTCCGCCGATGCGGGGTCTCCCACTCTTACTTTTACCCCATTTTCCTCATTGTAGTTGCCGCTTTTCCTGCTCTAATGGAGGCTAATGAACTGCGGTCGTGTTTGTAGAGGGCGTGTGGAAAATCCCGGGGAAGGGGGAAAATCCCAAGCAGGTAGAATTGTGGAAACACAAATCTAATTAGTAAAGTGAAGTTGATACGTTCTATTTGATGATCCTTTGAGGAATAAGTGAGTTGGAGTTGTATATAGAGTAGATTTAATGAAAACCTTGGGCCTGCTATTTAGTAAAATATATCTTAAATTCATTTTAAATCTCTTTGTTATTCTGCTTAATTGTTCAAATGTACCCCAATCATGGCCAATCGCAAAGTATACACACTAAAATAATATTTCCTGTGTAAACACTATAATGGAGTTTAAGAGCACCTCGAAAAGAGCAAGCAAACGGCTTTACATATTTATAAACAAAACATATGAATTCAGGGCCTAACAGCTGCTCACCTGAGCTGAGAACAATAACAAACATTCAGAAAAATAAAGCAAAGCAATTAAAACCCAACGCTGGCAGCAATAAAATCTGCCATACATACATTTAATAATTAATCTTTGTTGCACAAATGTTTGCATTAAATTAAAATGGCAAACGACAGCACAAAATTTATATAGAATCCAAATCGCCAACTCGGCCAAAAATACGAACAATTGAAAGGCGTTGCATGGTTTTTGCGGATAGGAAATTGAATTTGGCAATTGTACAACTGATGTTTGGATATTCGAAGCCGAGTTAAATATTGGTTTTAAATATATTTCGCTCATATTTACATATTGTTTCGGCGACATTTATTGTTGGGCACATTTGCATACACACATAACCAATAAAAGCCGATTGTTTTCGAGGGCTTTGGTTTTTTCCGTGCCAAAATAAATGGCCATCTATGCACATTTAGGTTTCCGTGTGGTCTGTTGACGGGTCATTTGGGTCACTCCCTTTTTTTGGGTGAAACACACACAGCCACAACAACGCAAACATTGACCCACATTTCAATTTATTTTATTTGCTGCGGGTGTCGTTGTGGCGCATTCGTGATTTGTGCGAGAAAAACACAAATGAAAGTCATAAATTTCCGCGCAACATGGCCGGGGCTTGTCTCTCTCCAGACCCTTTTCCCCTCTCCTTATACATATATGAATTTCCTCAGTCCCTCTGGCCATTATCCTGGTCTAAAATAGATGTAGGTCACAGGGTAAGTAATATTAGTAATCATAGGATACGGATATGGATATGGGCTATGGTTATAGAGGCCCAACGACATTCGCCAGTCAAATCAGCGTCAAGTTCGCGGGCCAACGTTTCAATTAAACCGAGTTCCCAACGAATTTCAGACCACTAGACTGCCGGCAGACGGGAGCCAGACAAGTCACGTTTTCTTTTCCACTTTTCCAGCGCCAAGAGCTATATATGGTAATGAATCGGCTGGGGATCTATCTATACCCTATATGGAGGCAATGGCACGTGGGTTTATCAGTGATTTCGAACGGAACATGAAGTAATTGAAACTGTGTGTGGTTTATTGAATATATTATTAAGGAAGCAATATATAAAAGTATTAACTATTACGGAAACTTTTAAGAAGCTTAAAGATCCATCACATCCTGCTGAATATTTAATAAGAAATATATATTCCATATAGGTGAGGATTAGAATGAAAACTCTAAGAAATAATAACAACAAAGTTATTGCTCTATAAGAAATTCTCTAGAACTTTGTACAATTATCATAATGTTTCTTTATAATCATAGATATGGGGTTCTTTAATCTATGTGTATAAAATGGTATAAAACGTCTTGTTCTTGTAAGAGTACCCAACTTAGTTTGGTGAAAATATAAGTAAAAGTTCCTGAAACCCTGTTCCTACTCCCACCTAGGGCATTCAAATCTTCTCTATAGTTTTCCCATACCATATTCTGATGATTTTTCATGGCAGTCGACGCCGCTTTATAATTGAATATTCAATGCACAACCGCAGACTTTGCATCGGCATGGCGCATATAGCGCATATAGTGCTCATAGCAAATCGTATATCGAATTGATGGACAGGTCTCTGTGGGTGCGACACTAGCGATGACAGCCAGGGGGCTAAGGGGTTTCCACACAACAAATAGATGAGGGGCAGAAGGGGATCCATTCTCCTGCTCTTCCCAGTGTGTAAATATTTGCGAAACGATTGCAGATGCAGGCGGAGATCTCGTTGTTCGCCGATCGACGCTGTTGATGGTTGACCAACAAATTGGTCACGATCGTTAAGCAAGACGCCTATTGTAATTGTTCGAGTTGGGTTTGGAATCGGAATCGCAGTCGGTTGCAGGTCATCCACCCGGAGCACTCACAACTACATATAATATATTTGTGTGTGCATTTATGATCACAAACGATGATGGGGGCGTATATGGCAAGTTCAATGCAACGGAAGTGCCGGCAATTGTCAGGAGTGGTTTCTCTATAGTCTGTGGTTTCGTTGTAGTTTCAAGTTGACTTTAGTTGTCTATATTTTACTTGACACATATAGACAGATCGACAGAGACAAGGCACGTAAACGTTCATACTAAATTATACAAAATAATAGTAGTTTCAAGAGAGTAAACTATGACCAAGCTATACTTAAGTTTTGATTAATTTCCATGGAAATGGCTTTAGCAATCTCTTTTAAATTAAGCTTTAGTTTAGATTATTGTTAATTTTCTCTCATTAACTTTTAAAGTATATGTGGGAATTTCAGGATATATATTAGGAACCCATAGCAAATCCCCTAATATTCTAACCGCATCTGTTGCTCCCAGCAAAACCATTTTGCCATGTGGGTGGGTTTCATGTTGGCGGCGGTACTTACATGGCCATCGCTGTCTTCTAATGTCTTTGTAGCACTTACCTGCAACGAAAAAGAGGAGGGAGAATTATTGCAGTTGAACTCAAGTTTTGTACTCAGGAGTTTCGTCCGTGGGCGGATCGAAACAAAGTTGCAATTGTCTAAGTCGGAGAGTTCTGTAACATTTCTGCCACTTGCTAATGTGAGGCAACCATTCAGGCGTTCTGGCTTTCAGGCTGGGCGAAGTTTCCGCTCTTTTATAGGAGGGTATAAAAATAGTTACTGCCAGTAGTTAAACCCGCAGACAAAACACTGTTGCCCAACTAGCTCTGCGAGATGGGAGTTCAAGTATTTCTCATAGTTGGTAGCAGATGCCTTTGAAGCGGAAGCGGAAAATACTTCTAAAACTCTACCAGAGCTAAGGGATATTTTAGTGATCATTAAAAGGAATTTGAATTTAATGGAGAAGCGGATGGGGGTTGCATAATATTATAAGGAAAGAGCAGAATGCTTCGAAATTAAATGGTTCCCAGTATAATTAATGAGAAGGAATACAGAGGCAACATAAAGTGGTATATTAATTTCTCAAACAACATGTAGAAGCCTGTAAAACATGAATTTATTATATTTACTTTTAAGTAAAGGTAAAGACAGTAAATAATATGTCTGGCAAATCATTTTTCCCAAGAATACTCAAAGAAACATTTTGTTTCCATTTGCAAACCTTCTGAATAACAATCCCTTGCGGCGCTCCCTCTATTTACTACTGAATTCTTACTGAATTCTTGGAATTTGCAATAAAAATTCACTACAAAACGCATTCACATATCATTTATTCGCATTACAACTTATATCTTGCACAATTTGTCTGGATAATCTTTTGTACTACGAAACTTGAGAGCAAACTTCGCTGCCACTGCAAGTTTTCTCTTTTTCTCGGTTATTTATTCTTTACCAATCTGGTCATAATCATAATCAGCTCATATGCAAACATTGCAGAAACCGAACCGCAAATCCCGCGTGGGTGTGTCTCGTCCCGTCTCTTTTCCAGCCGTCACAGCCATCTCTTTCTTCGTCTACTGGTGCGTGTGCAGTGCAACCTGCAACTTGTTGAGTCACTCGGGCGTTTAGTATTCAAGTGTCGGCCTCCAATGGATAACGAGCCATCAATCATCGAACTACCATCTCTCGAGGTAAGAAATCTTCAACTAACCAAATCCAGTCCCGGCAGCAACATGTTGCCGCCGCTGGACAGCAACATTGTTGCCGAGAAGATCATGATGATGATGTATGGATTTTCAGTCTTGTGACAAGTGAAATGACATTCCCTCCAGCAAGTTAAAGTTAATGTAATGTATAATATTAAATCAGCAAAAAGACTTCCCAATCGGTGACTCTTGCAACATACAGGAGAGGGTAAAATAATAGAGCTCATTATTAATTTAAATAGGGTTTATGTTTACTGTTGCTAAAGCTATTATTTAGAGACCCTATATATTTTTGTATACCCTTCAGAGTATTATCATTTCAGTCAAAAGCTTGTACTGCAGTCGATAAAATAAATCCGAATATGTTAAGCTTACTTAAGATTTATTTTTTGATTCGATTCAGTCATATATATCAATTGTATAATTAGTCGAAATATTACTATAACTTGCTCACAATTTTAATCAATTTTTTTTAATATTATGAAACTCTATTTTTAACCAAAAAGTAAAGTGTAGAGAATTTAATTAAATAAGCTCCAAGCAGTTTAAAAAATTGCAAAAGCAACATTTGCTTGACTTGAACTGCAGTTTAATATATTTTTAATGCTTGTCCCATGGCAACTTTCCCGCAAACAATTTCGTCGACAAGGCAACAAATTGTTGCATTTAATCTGCTGTCTTCTCGCGAAAATTGCCACGTCGCCAAGCAAAAAAATATCAATTTTGCCGTGGGTGGTCGTCTGCCTTAATTAAATTAGTGCAGAGAAAAGATTGCCAGTGTGCAATCATGAAATAGTTTTCAATCAACAAAAAGTCAATTAATACGCTATAAACGCCACCGACACATTTCTCTCTCTCCAATTGTGGCTCGGATTTTCCTTCGTTTTTGTGGCCAGCTAAATGCTTTTTAATTGCTCAGACAATCGCGTAGCAGCTGGGTGAAAAAAATCCTAGACAATTGGCCAACAACCGAATGTAGAGAAATAGTTGGAATTGGCTAATTGCACTGCAGATTTTTGTTAACTTGATTTATTTGAGTTTAGACTGAGTTTTAGTTCGAAGCGATTTTTAAACGTTTTTCGAGCAGAGTGATTCATAATTAAGAAATGTAAAGCTAGATTTTAAAAATTTTGTTAGTTTTCTTTGTTTTGTTTATGTTAATTAGTAATTTTTGTAACTTCCTACCTTTTTTTGGCTATTTAGTTATGGGTTTGTCTTTCACGAAGCCTATAATTGTAGGTTATAAATATGTTTACTTTCTCGGAATGCAATAAACCCAACCATGAGTCACTTCATTCATTTTAAATATATTTTTAGTAAATTTGTGTCAGTTGCTTATTTAATTTTATTGCTGTTTTGCGTCTGCGTTTCTGTTTTTTTTTTTTTTTTTTTAACTCGTTGTCTTAATCGCTTTGAATTGAGTGACTCCAACGCAGTTTTCTAGTGGTTTTCCATTGAGCAAATTATTCCTTCAATTTAGGAGTCATTGGTGTCAACTGCGGTTGAATAATGCTTTTATAAAATATACAAAATTTGGTTAGAAAGTGCGTGCAAGGGAACGCCTACAATTTTTTTGTGTTTAAATGGGTGCCAAGCCCCTTCACACCAAGTGATTTATGCAAAACTGGCACAGCGATTAGGGGCAGTCAAGTGAGTACCCAAGTTCTCCCTCGTTCCCCCCTAATTTTTTCCCCTGTTTCTCTGGAGAAACCAGAACAGGATTCAAATCCCGGACAAGGAAATGCCCCCCATCCGAGTCTCCCTTTCTCCCAGTGAGATGTGGGCACGCGACAATTAGCACTCCATTGACACATGTGCGACAAAAGCAGGGAAATGGAGAAAGGGCGAGAGAAAGAGAGGGAAAGAAGTGGGAGAACCGCAGTGAGAGAGACAGCAAGCCCACTGACTGTGTGCGTGTCGCATTACCGAGAAATGGAGCATTTTATGCTCCAATAAAATAATTAAGTGGCGTAATTGATAATGACTTTTTTCCTTCGCTGTTCGCTTCGCTTTATTTTTTGTGTGTGTTTGGTGTGTTTTTATTTTTTCATGTCATAATTTTGTGAATTTATGGCATCATTTTTGAAGGCGTCGCCAATGGGTGACTGAGTTCCTTTCCTGTCTCTGGCTGTGAGTGTGTATAATTTTTTTCTTTCATTATTATTTTTGTGCGGCGTCGGAAGCGTGACAATTTTATAATCGATGTTGATAAGCGTGGGGGTAGAGTGCTTTTCAGGGGGAGTCGATGCAAATGAGCTCTCAGCTAATTACGAACGTTTGTTGGTTGAAATTGGAAGTGATAGCGGTAATTTTTAAATGTCAGCCAAGATCTGTGTGGTGTAAATTAAATTTTGTGCAATGACACAACGATTATGAAGTAATTTAAATGCATTTACATGTTCAATAAATGGAAATATGATGCAATAACATTGCTTACTGAACTTGTTTTATGATAAAAACTAAGTTTAAGATGTCTCTTAATCGTTTAAGATAAATAAATTTATTTTATTCTTAATTTCTCAGGAGTGTTGTATTAATAAAAGCATCAGATGTGTCGGAAACTTCAAATGCAAAGTTAAATAAATATTTAAAATTTATTGCTGCAACTTAGAACCTTCAACTGTTGAATTCTTTTGTCACGCACTTGTATTTATTATTAAGCATGAGCGTATAATTTATATTCTGCTGGCCTGGCCAGCTGAATTTATTTACGCTCTCAATATTGGCAACTTCAGCCAGCTCATAGATCACTTTAATGGCATTCGGTCTGTGGCCTCTCTCTCTCTTTGGTTCTGGCCAAAAGCCATCTGTCTCCCTCTATTTCAGCCGACTGTTTCACTATTTGGTAGGCGCTCGAGTAGGGGGCGTGGCAGAAGTTCAACGTTTGAACAGAGCACTTGATACTTTTTATGTACTCGTTGTCATTGCACTTTGCACACTGCCTTCTCTGTTCGTCAATGGCTGAGAGCTTGAACAAGTTTTTGTTCCCTAAATTTTGTTGTTGTTGTTGTTGTTGTATCAATTCATTCGATTTGTTCCCTTTTTTCGAACTTGACTCACTCAATGTGTACAGAACTGTACTACAAACAAGAAGCATGACGGGAATTGCCGATGCACTCGAGATTCTCGCTTGCACTGTAAAGGGAAAAGTGCATCAGGATGACAGTTGGGCGGAAATCCAACAAAATCAATGCTGAAATATCACTCAATTTGGCCAGAAATGAGTTGAAAATTGTCGGATTTTTTTCTGATGTCTCTCACAATTTGAAAACCCTTACATCGGGGATACATCCTTAAAACTCAAAATTTGGCCAAAAATGGAATTTTTAAATTCAATAACTGTGTACGCAGATTTGTTAGCGCTTTAAAACCTAGCACAGAACAGCTTTCTAAATTGAAATAAACACATTTTTGGCTTAATTATGATGATTGTAATACACGGATTACTTTATAAAAATCCCTGTTTTTATACCATTTTTAGGTTATTATAATTTAGTCAGAATCTTTTAACAGCATCAACACACGCAGTACGCAGATTTGTTAGCGCTTTAAAACCGTACACAGAATAGCTATCCGAATTAAAATTAATGCATTTTTGGATTAATTATGATGTTTGGAAAACACTGATTATTTTCAAAAATGGCCTGTTTTTATACCTTTTTGAGGGTATTAGTATTAATCAGAAGCTTATAACACAATGAAGAAACCATTTCCGACCCTATAAATCATATATATTCTTGATCAGAATGAACAGCTGAATCGATCTAGCCATGTCTTGTCGAAAAATAAATTTTTGCATTTTGTGTCAAAATTTCAAAAAATGATAAGGGGTTACATCGTTAAAATTGTCA